ACTGATCCGCTAATAGATCCTAAAACTAACTCCCCATTTATTAGCAATTCTATAAGAACTTCACGTTACACCTTCTTCAATTTTCTTCCGAAACAACTTTATGCTCAATTCTCAAAGATTGCTAACCTATATTTCCTTTTTGTTGCTATAATTCAAAGTGGCATGTATTTATACTTTATGATAATCAGCCTTTTTTTTTATGTTCTATTTCGATTAACTTTTGTGTACCCTGATGCGTATGATAGTGCCCGAATGGAGCCCTACTGGTCAATTCACCACTTTGATCCCTTTAAGTGTATTCATATCAATAGCGATGGCTCATGAAGGCTTTGATGATTATCGGAGACACAAACAGGATACTATAGAAAACAACAAGGAATGTTCAGTATTAAATGTTTATCGACCAAATGATGTGACATCTCAAAGATTAGGTGTTTGGAGGAAAACGAAATGGAGAAATTTACGGGTTGGTGATCTTGTGAATGTTAAAGCTCAAGAATGGGTTCCCGCCGATTTATTGCTATTGCATTCGAAAGGTGAAAAGGGAATTTGCTTTGTTGAGACTGCTGCTTTAGATGGTGAAACTAATCTTAAGCAAAAGCAAGCACTCAAGGATACAAATAATATATTAGCTTCTCCAGAAGCTCTTGCTAGTTTCAAAGGTATGGTTTATGTAATGTGATTAGTGAGAAATATCAGATAAGATTTTCTAAGATTGATTATAAATAATAGCTGTGGTTTCTGCTGAGAATCCAAATCAAGACTTGTATAACTTTGATGGATCAATAGAGCTCCCCGATGGAAAAATATGTGCACTTTCAAATGATCAAATTTTATTACGTGGTACAATCTTACGCAATACTCCTGAGATATATGGACTAGTGATATTTACTGGCGAAGAAACAAAACTTCGAATGAATGCTTCAAAAAACATTCGAACAAAAGCCCCTATGATACAACAATTGGTTAATAAAGTGGTTATAATTATATTTTCATTTGTCATACTTTTGTCGGTCTTTTGTACAGCAATGTCGAAAATTTGGGCAGAGCGTTTTTGGAAGAACGCTTGGTACGTTTTTGGGGTTGAAAGACAGGTGTATGTATCTCTGTTTGCATTTATTATCTTATTCAATACCATGATTCCGATCTCTCTCTATGTTACCATGGAGATTATCAAACTGGTTCAAGTTTATTTTATTAACAAAGATGTTAATATGTATCACGCGGAAACCGACACTCCTGCTGAAGCACGAACAGCAACAATCAATGAAGAATTGGGTCAAGTTAGTTATATCTTTTCTGATAAGACTGGAACACTCACGGATAATATAATGTTATTTAGAAAGATTAGTGTTGGTGGACTAGCGTTTTTACATGATATGGATTTGTTTAATATAGAAAAGGATGAATTATCACAATTGTTTTATCAACGTCAAAATTCCGTTACAAAAGGACAAAGTAAATTTTCTTACACGTCAGTTGGACAACATGCTCGTAATAGGACGCTTGATAGTCTTGAAATTTCTGAAAACTCGGAATCTTCAAGACGCAGAGATTCAAGTCTTAGCAGGCGTTTTTCAATGATTGCACCGACCACTACTTGTCCATCTCCACCGTATAAACGTGATTCAGTGTCCAAAACCACAATAGGATCTATAAAAACAGACAAAGATCCCACCATTCGTTCCACATTTGATTTACTGTCCATCATTCAAAATAAATCTCATACATCGTTCGGAGAAAAAGCGAGATTCTTTTTATTGGCTATTGCATTATGCCACACTTGTGTACCTGAAATTGATCAAACAACAAATGATGTATTCTATCAAGCTGCATCACCTGATGAATTTGCTCTTGTGAATGCTGCTAAAGAGTTAGGATATGTTGTTATGGATAGGTCGACGTCCTCAGTCTCTCTATTGATCAATAACGATGGTCTTTCCGAATTAAAAGATCTTAATTCAACAAAAACATATGAAACCTACCAAATTTTAAATGTCATTGAATTTTCAAGTAAAAGAAAGAGAATGAGTGTTATTTATCGTTTGCCTAATGGAAAAATATGTCTGCTTTGTAAAGGGGCAGATTCGATAATAATAGAGAGATTAAAGATAAATAACACAAATATTTCTTCGAGATCGTTAAATAATGAAAATAAAAGATATAGTACGACAATATATCTTGAACACTCAATGGTTGATCCTTCTTCAATGTATGATGAAAGATGGCTTTATAACGAAACCATGCTTCATATTCAACAATTTGCGACCAAAGGATTAAGAACTTTACTTTATGGACATCGATATCTAGAAGAGGATGAATATAATGAATGGAATAAATTATATCAAGAGGCTTCAACCACTATGGTGGATCGACAAAAACAAATGGAACTGATTGCGGAAATAATTGAAAGAGATTTAGAGATCACAGGCGCTACAGCGATTGAAGACAAATTGCAAGACGGAGTTCCAAAAACCATCGATAAATTGTGTAGAGCAGGAATTAGAATATGGATGTTGACTGGTGACAAGAGAGAAACCGCGATTAATATTGGATATTCTTGTTCTTTAATCAAGAATTACTCTACTACCATAATTATAGATCAAAATTTTGATCTTGACTTGACCCTAAGTCAAGCATTAGAACATATTAATTGCAACATAGGAAAACATGCTGTAGCAGTTGTTGATGGTGCCACGCTGATGGTAATCGAACAAAAAGCCGCACTTATGGAAAAATTTGTCGAATTGGGAATTCTATGTGATTCTGTTATTTGTTGTCGTGTAAGTCCATCACAGAAAGCTTTGGTAGTTCGGAAAATTCGAGAGAAATTAACTGGTACAGTAACGCTAGCAATTGGAGATGGGGCCAATGACATAGCAATGATTCAGGAAGCACATGTTGGAATTGGAATTACGGGTAGAGAAGGATTACAGGCTGCAAGAACAAGTGATTATTCGATAGCGCAATTTAGATTTTTAAGCAATTTATTGTTCGTACATGGTAGATGGTCTTACATAAGAGTGTCAAAATTCATTTTAGGAACATTTTATAAATGCATGTGTTTTTACCTTACGCAAGGAATATTTCAACTTTTTACTGGATTCTCTGGAACTAGTTTATATGAGCAATGGACTCTTTCATTTTATAATACATTATTTTCATCATTGCCCATCATGGTTATCGGAATGTTTGAGAAAGATTTAAATTATAAAACATTATTAGAAGTTCCAGAACTGTATACTCAAGGACAATATAACAATGCTTTTAATATAAAACTTTTCTTTTCTTGGATGAGTGACGCAATTATTCATGCTCTTGTGATAGTTATGGTACCATTTATTCTACATGACATCCTTTGTAAGTATGAACTCAGAAATTTTGGATCACCTCAACTATATGAGCTTGGATTAGTGGTATATACATGTGTAGTGTTTGTGGTTACATTCAAGATAGCATATTTGGAGTGTCATAATTGGACAGTCATAACACACGTTACATCATTTTTGACATTATTTGGATGGTTCTTGTATCAAACCATTTATTCCTTTATTTACCCTATAGATACGAAAAATGCAGCTTATGATGTACGTGGAGTATTTCAACAAGATGCAATTAAGAGCGAATTTTGGGTAACTGTAATATTAACAACTTCTATAGCTATTATACCGAATATTCTAAAAAAAGTAGGAACAAATGTTTTCCATTTTACCGATGTTGATGAATATCAAGTTATTGAGAAGGATGATAAATATTCACAGAAAATCAGTGCTGATGAGGTGCGATAGAATTGTCTCGACTTTAATTAAATAAAAGCGTAATTTTGTATAATAGTCATAAAAATATTATAAATAAAATAAATGTAAAAGTCTTTTTTAGAGTAACTTTTTTTATAATGAAACAATCCAAAGATCTTATCAATCAAAATAAATTGATTTAAATTTACCTAAAAAAAAAACGTCATAGCCGATCAAGTTTGTGTTATTTAATCTTAGTCAATAAATCAATAACGAATTATAGCATATATATATATATATAAAACAATGAATATATAATACAGTAATTATTTGATATCTAATTAAAATAATTAAAAAACTCTTATTGCATCGCTCATTATTCGATCCAATTCCTAAAAATACGAGTAAATTAATACACGACCATATAATTAACATAAAAATATAAATTATTGACTCTTACCGACTCTAACATATCAAGCTCATCATTTACACATTCAAACACTGATTTAATTTCATCTCTAATATCCGTAGGATTAATCCGTTCAAGAATTTTTTCGGGATCATCATGTAAATGCCATCCGCTTCTCCTCCTTTGCTTTATTTCCAACATGTTTACTCCTGATCTAACAAGTACTAAAAGCT